AACTTAATAAAACCTCAGACCTCCCTCTCACCAACGATGATCAGTTCACTTTCCAAAACAACAACTACACATCCTCCATTGTTCTTCAACATCTCCAATCTCAACAGAAGCTCTCAAACCCCACCTTTTATCCTTCTTCGAGAAACCTTCAACTCTCCTCTGAGAACCTCAACACTACCAATCTCCAAACATAAGCACCACCTCCACTTCAAACCCAGCCTCTATTTTTGTTCACCCAGAACTCATTCAACCTGACCTTCTGCGGAAGTTTTCCTTTGTTCTTCATCAAACCTTTCACTCAACCAACCCTCAGATCGAAAAAACATTTGTTCTTCAAACGAACACCGTAACAAAACCCAAATCGCGGCCCCTCCAACAATCACTTCTTTGAACATAAGCCATCGACCCTGTTCTGCAAAACCCATCTTCGAACGAACCTCGCCCTTAAGTACCATACAAACCGCCACCGTTTCCCTATCATCAACGCGTTTATCTGATTACTCTGAAAACTCCAAAACCAATTCCAGATCTGTACACGGAAACCTTTATCATCAACCTTCATGAACACTTCAAACCACCAACAAACACAAACTTCCAATACCAACAGCCCATTCAAACTCCAAAACAGAGAATAAAGAACTCGCCTTATCATTTAACACACTCACCTTTCTTCACCTTCTATCTTCACTCACGATTTGCATCTATGTGAAACTCAACCCCAACTTCATTCAATGAAGTTCATTTTCTCGCCGTGAAAAACTCGCTGTAACTCATACAACAACCACCGTTTGGACAACAACGATACATACCACAACATCAGCTACCTACACACACCTTCAAACAACTCAGATCTCCAAACTTCATAACGCACCTTCAATCACCAAAAAATCCCTGATTTCGAACCACCGACGATGATACCTTCATCAACCTACAGAAAAACAAACCCCCAAACCTGAACTCAGAAATATCCGGCCGTAAAACCCAATACTCTCTTCGGAATGCTTTTCTTCACGGATTCCCCACCTCCCAATCTTCAAAAAACGAATAACTTTCTAACCCCAAAATCCCTTCATCAGACCCTTCCACTCAAAAATAGAAAACACTTTTTTTCTGAACCACCTGCAACAACACAACAAACGGTAACAACAAAGCCTTTCTGACCTTTTAATTGGGACAACTCTCTCTTAATTTTTTCTTCAACAACAATAAACCCAGAAAGACAACATAAACTCGCGAACAACCCTCTTCACCAGTTTAAACCCATCTCTATGAGGCCCGACCAACACCTAGACCAGAACAAAGCAGAGCGAAGGGAAAAATGAGAATCGAAAATGTTGGGTTTGAAGCTGGATTGAGAGTTGAAACTAAGAAGCAAATGCGAAGAGAGAGAGGTTTATTTTTTTTCTCTGAAAATTAAGTTTGGACTGAGTTTTCAAGGAGGGAAGTTTCATTTTCTTTATTAAACAATTATTATCAAGTAGTGCCTTGGCTGTTCCCAAAGTCGAATGTGTTTGGTGACTGGTAACGTGGTTTTTTTTTCCTTGGATCTTTCCTCTCCTTTTGAGTCACCTCACTCGTGGCATGCCTATTGCCTCATGAGTTGTCGTGCGGAGAGAGTCCAGCGTATGGACTGCCCTTTTGGGCTTTTTTTTTTCATCATTTATTTGGTTACTTATTAAATTAAGTTGTTTACATTATAAATTAATTATGTTTCTAACTTTAGGATATAGTTTTGTTTTATTAATTGATAATCTATTTTGATTCATTTCTTTTTCTCTTTTTTCAACCTTTTTTGGGTCATTTTGAGTTACTTTAAGGGTCGATGACGAGACCTCCGTAATTCATTACCAGTCAAATTATTGATGAGTAGTGTTGGATCTGAGACCACCTATTTTCTCTCTTCGTCACTTGTCCCGACTCGATTCAAAACTTTGTCAAACAATTTTCAAAATCAAATTATCTTTGTATTGAATTAAAAAGAGGGGATTAAGTGTAGACTTTCTTCCTCTCCGAGTGTTAGGATGCCCACTGTAGTGAGGGTGGTTCCGACACTCGTCTTCCAATACGAAGACGCTTCCCGTCCATTTTCAAATCTCATCTCCTTAAAATCTTTTCTTTGTGTTGAGCTAAAAAGAGGATTGGGTGTAGACCTCTTCTTCTTCAAGCGTAGGGATGCCCACTGTAGTGAGGGTGGTCTCGATGCTCGTCTGTCAATACAAAGACGCTTCCAACATTTCCTCATAAAACCTCGGTCTCGTACTGAGTATACTTTCAATAATAAATTAAGTTCCCTTTGTATTGAATTAAAGAGAGAAGATTGGGTGTAGACCTCTTCTTCTCCGAATGTTGGGATGCCCACTGTAGTGAGGGTGGTCTCGACACTCGTCTTTCAATACAAAGACGCGGCTTCATTCACCATCTCGCTTTCACGACTTCCTTCCACAACTTTCACACCTAAAACCTCGGTCCTGTACCGAGTGCATTTTCAAATCTTTTCATAACAAAAACTTGAATGGTCGTGGAGTGGTTAGGCGTAGGCCTTCTCCTACCCCGAGTGCTGACGTTTACCGTAGGGTTCTCTGTCGCAAAGCACTTACCATTCAAAACCAAAAACACTTTAATAAGAGAATGAAGTTCTCTTTGTGTTGAACTAAAGAGAGAGGATTGAGTGTAGTCTTCTTCCTCTCCGAGTGTCAGGATACTCACTGTAGTGTGTGTGGTCTTGATACTCGTCTTTCAATACGAAGACGCTATGTTCGCCACACATTTTTACAACAAAAACTTTGAGATAAAGAATCGGGTACTACCTGTAGGGGTTACTATCCGAGGATCTGTCTCGCCCCCTAAAAAACAATCTCAACCAATCAAACGTGATTTCTTGCCCCGCGTGGCGAAAACTAATCAATCTTTCAAAAGGATATGATACGTCCGTTCTACCGCAAACAGGTAACGCCTAAGTCTCCAACGAGCGAGCAGCAAAACACCTAACTGCTAGAATGCGCACGATAGCATCATCCATAAAAAACATCAACACACCGTAGGCCGAACTACGGCTGCTCTGATTCTTTACTTTTTCAAGTAAAGATACGTAGGCACAAGGGCCACAATCCTTGCCGAGCACATTCCCCCCCCCCCCTATATCTGTAGTTCCCCGAACTACGTCGACTCTGACTTTCTCATATCTTTTGAGAATACGTAGGCCTAGGACCGCGAAGTCCTACCGAGTCTGTTCTTTCTCTTTTCTTCCCCGTTCTCTCTTTCCTCCTAACTTTCTTGTTTCTAACCTTTCTTTTACCCTGTGGAACACTTCTTATAGCATAATGTTTAAGCAGATATAATCACACATCGACAAGCAAATGGTTCCCATCGAGTACGATGGATGCGAGGGGTGCTAATACCTTCCCCTCGCATAACCGGCTTCCGAACCCGTTCTTGGTTGCGAGACCATCTTATCCATTTATTTCTTAAGGTTTTCTCGATATTTTCCTTTCCCCTCATGGGATAAATAAAGTTCGGTGGCGACTCTTCTGTCCTTTCTTTTTCGCCTCCCCGTCGTTGCGCGATGCATTTTTCGAGTAGCGACAAACATGACGTTTTGTCAAATCAACAATATGTTGTTGTTCATCAGCATTAACTCGACCTACAAACGAATGAAATTCAAATATATTCGGTAAACCATGATTGTGAAAGGCACATTTTACATCAATCTTCCAACGAGAACCATCTTTTGACGGTATTGACCTAATTTTAAATGGACAACCACATTTTTTAGTAGCACTTTATGTTACATTATCTCCTTCTTTGTATTTTCCACCTTTATCACAACTAAATATAACTTTGTTGCTTCTTCCTCTCTTGTCATTTTTGGTTTTCGAATGAGTTATTATAACTGTCACTTTATTCCTGATTCCAACGTCCATAATTCACCTTGCCGCCTCTTCTCGTGTATCAAATTTGCATGTAGTTGAGAATATCTCAGTGGCATCTACACATATCTGATTTTTATCTCATATCATCAAAGGAATATCCATACATATTAAATATAAATACAAAAAAAGATTAATAAAACTTTAAAAAAAATTAATAAAAGTGTACAAAAACTCTTAAAAGTAAGAAATCTGAGTAGGAAAAAAAACATCACCGAAACTCTTACAGGTAAGATATTCAGTTAGTAAAAAAACTTAAATAAAAAAACACATGGTAAAGTTATCCGGCTGACTTTTGTGAACCAAATACTTAAGCAACTGTTATTCGGTGTAGAAAATATATGAATTGGAAATTATAATTTTAAGTTCTCCGATTTGAGAACTAAATATATCACATATCATAAACTCAAGTTATTCGGTTTGCATAAAATGGATACAAAATATTTTATTTCAATAGACTTGGACAGATGGTAAAAATAAAATAAAAGATTAAAGTGAAATTCACCCAAATAGTCTTGAAATATATAAAATTGTTGGGATAGAGAATAAATGTGGGATAATGGGGTAAAAATTTCCAAAAATACCCTGCCGCTTATCTGCATCCCAAACAAATTTGAATCTTTTTCAAACAAAAGAAACAAGTTTGAATCGCACTGACCTCAACTGGCCGGAAAAAAATCAAAAGCTAACCGGAAAACGCCGACGGAGTCGCTTATCCGCACCCAGAAACAGTGAGAAAGTACAGGTTTTACTTTTTAAACCTTTTCCGATTTTCCTTCCTTTCTCCTAAGAGACGCAATTGAAAACACAGATATCACATTCACACTTCGTCATTGTCCCTTGCTTCTTTGTTTTACCATGGAGTTGAAATGTATTATTATTATCATTATTGTGTTAAAATCTAATTCTTCAATCAGGTATTTGCTACGATAATTCAAAAACACTAGGGTTTCTGAAGTTTACCATGTTATATCTTTCAGGTTACAACATTATTGCGTGTATCACTTAGGGGGAAAAATAATCTATTAGTGAGAAAATTGAATTAATCACTACAAAAAGTGTTTTTTTTTAAGAATGGAGAAAAGTCCTGTACCTGATTCCAATGCATCAACAACTACTACAGCAATTGGATCCAGGTTCTCCATTTTGAACAAGTCCTTCAAGGTTGCTCTTCGTTCTATGCTAACTTCACGTCCAAAGGAGGTGTATTCCGTCACTCTTTCTTCTTTTATCATTTTGCTGTCAATAGAAAAATTGAGCTGAAAAACTGAATATCAGACTATCATTCTAATTCTATATTTTTAAGGTAGTAGATAGAAGTTGAACTTATAAGATACTTTGTAAAGTAATATTTGATATAATAGAAATGTCAACAATTGATTTACATTTCAGGCTTGTATTCTTTAAATCACTTCGAAATTTAATTTCAGCCTTCAAGTGGATGTATTTTGATGGGTGTTTCTGTATTGGTTTTTAAAGGAATTTGTTAAAGAATTTCCAACTTTTACCAATGCTGAAAAAAATTATCTTCATCGCCTATATCTTCAGGTATGATCTCTTGATATCTGCTTTCAAATTAGAAATAGATTTCTGAATGTTACTTAGAGCTTTAGCCAAAAATAAAAATGTATATGGCAATGACATTGACCTAGGTGTAGGTACTCATTTTTCACTTTACATGTGAGTTAAGTCAAATGAGCAAGAGCAAGACGTTAGCTGTGTTTACTAAGAAACATCTATTTAGTTAAGAAATTAGAACTTTTTAAAGACATTTGTTGGCATCAAGCATCTGTCTTTTACTGGAACCAGTCATAAATCAGTTATCTCAAAAGATTATTTTGTTCAGTAAAACATAAGAATGGTTTTGTACCTAATGTGTACAGCATACAAAATCCTTTTTGGGCTTAAGAATGGACAGTGCTAAAGCCTGTCTTTCATTTTGATGAAATTTTGAAAGAATTAAGGAAATATGAAGTTGAGAATGATTTTTGAAGTGTTTGAGAAAATGTCTCTCAGCCTATACTGATTTTCATTTTTATAAGATGACAATGCACAATCATGTCACTTAATTATTGGGACTGATACACCTACTTATTATTTGATTTCCTTTTATGTATCAAATCTTTCAGGCCATGAATTCTTTTCAGGAAGCCTTTGAGGTATGTTTGTTATTGCAACTGTTATTCTGGATATGTCAGATATAAAATCTATTCCACCTCTAATATAAACACTCAATTGGTTGCCCTGCAATAGTTAAGGATGTCGTCTAAATATTACTTTTGATGTTTTTCCTTTTAATTATACCCATTTCTTAAACTTAAAGTCTGATGCTTATGCTTCACTATTTCAGATACTTAACACTGATGTTTATGTTTTTCTTTTAACATAAAAGGCTATTGATTTGTTGTAGGAGATGTTTTGCTCTTTTTCTTTACCTTCTCTTTCTCACGCGCACACATCCATCCAAAGAGATCTGTCAGGACTCAAGAAACACTAATTTATTTGTTTGTTTTCTGTAACTTGCATGATTAAATGCCTGTAACTATATACATTGCAAGCATTTTAGCATGTAATAATTCGTTAACACTTACATTCTAAATTTCAAATGCTATGTCAATTTTTACAGGAAGAATTTGAAGCAATCTGTCTCAAAATAAAGGTATAACTTAACTATTGTTGCTGTTGTTTTATTCTAACATTTAAAAAAAATAAAAATGGTAGAGTATTGTGTCTGTTTGCAGTTTGCTCAACATTCACATGCTCCAATTGATTTAGGCTTGCACTCAAAACTCATTTTAAGGGAGCTTTAGAACTTCACTAGTTGGTTAAGAAATCAAACCTTACTCTATTTGAGTTTTAACAGTATACGCATTAAGCTTTGGCTCTAGTTGGAGACATTCTTTTTTTAAATATTTTGCGACACTTAGGATTTTATTATACCATTCACAGTTACACCCTTTAACTCAAGGGAAATAATTGAACTCTTTTATATAACATAGGAGAGGTCAGAGAAGGAGTCTGGGAGGGGGGCAGTTTGGTAGGCGGCACGAAACTTTAGATTGGGTGAAGTCAAAGGCCATTTTAAACATATTTTTAGCCAAGCTCCCTTCCCCTTTTTCTCAAGTTTGATAAATGATGGCAAATGGTATTTGCTTACAAGATTTACCGGTACATAATTGATTCGGGCTTGATTTGGAAATTTGTCTGTAGTTTCTTTATATCCCTTTTTTCCTTGATAATCTGCACTGGGTGTGGAAAATTGAAACATACAGGCTGCGACATTCTGTTATATTCTAGTTAGTGTTGTATTTCAAGTTCATCTCTCATGTAGCTAGGAGCCGTTCTTGATGCTGTAGAGGAAATTGTGGAAGAACAAGAACTGGATCCTTTGTTTTCAAAAAGGTATAGGTATTATCTGATTCTGTATTTCAACTATCCGACTGTAGATTTTATCTTTAGTTAATATTTGAGATGGTTATATTAAAAAAATAATTTTAGTCTTTACCGCAATAATTAGTGAAACTTAACTCTTAAACCTCTTAAACCTCGTTAAGTTCTCTCAGTTTTTTGTTTCATGGAGGTTTTCCTTCATACTTATACTTGGAGAATGGTGACCAATGATGGTTATTTTTAACAATAGATCGTTATTCAATTTGCTTCCTTTCCTATTATTTACTGGTCATTCCTATTACAACATATTGATTTATTTTGAATTCAGTAGAGAAACATTTATACAATTGCAGGAGTAACATAGTGGATACTGCTGAAAGTCTGTCTTTGGCAAAGAAGAATGAAATCCAACACTTAAAGCATATGGTGCAATTGGTAGGTATACTATTTGAATGTATCAGCATCAAATTATGTTAAAGGTGAACTAAAACAAATACTTAATTCATAGATTGAAGTACTTAATACGATTTGAGTATTTTGACACCACATTTTCATATTCCTTTTTTTCTTTGTTAATCCCTTCTCAAACTCACCTAAAAAGACTACACAAAATTCTCTTTCCTACTCATTGCTGTGCAACTGTTTGAAGTTTTCTCTTTCCAATTGAAGATTAATTTTATGACTCTTAAGTTGGAATAGCGAAAATAGTTCCTTTCTTTATAATATCTTCCCTTGATTGGTTGATCCAAAACAAATGCTGCTCTATGTCAACTACACTAACATTTTAAAATTTACAAAATCAAACACAGTAGGAAAATATTTTGAATATAAATCACTTCATTATAAGCTCAAACTATGAAATCATATGCAAATGCATATATAGAGCCAAAAAGGTGCTCTCTTGAACTTGGAACAAACTACAAAGTGAATTTGGCTAGGCCAGAAAAAAACAACGTTATGTTTAAAAAACGTTGAAGTTTTGCTTAGGCCCTTAAATAGTGGTCATTTTCACTTTTGTAATCTAAGCCTTGTATTATATATCTCTGATCATTATGTCGTTTTGTTAGGGAGAGGAAAATAATCAAAGGCTCCGCAACCAACTGCAACTCCTTAAAGAAAACAGTCAACTTTTGTCTGGTGTTTCACATGCTATTGAAAAGGTAGAAGCTTTCTTAATTTCCTTCTCTAAAATCATTCAATTGGTTTAAATGTTTTAATTATTTATGTTTGTATTTTTATTTCTTTTTAAGGGGATTCTTTCTTCTGACATAGTACTTCATTCTGTTAACAGTTCAAAATCATAAATTCAAATTATGGAGCCAACCCAGGTGATGAAATGCATGATGCATACCATTTCTAGCACAAGTGCCTGTAAATTCATCCAGTTTCCTCTGCTGAGGGATCATCTCTTTAATGTTGTTGCAATGCTTCTGATGAAGATTGAAATATTTACCAGGAAATCTTAGCAAAGAATTGTCTCTGTATGGTATCGTTATTCTTGTTTCAGCTCTTTCTGTAATTTAAATATTCAACTTCTGTGGGAAAAATTTGCTTGTGATCCTCAATTCTTGTGAAAAGAAAAATGGTAAGCTATATTATGCAGTGTGAGAATTAAATACAATTTTAATTTGGCTATGTTTGATATAATATTTACATTCTAAACAATCTAATTACAACCTAATTTAACATTTAAGATTCCATGTACTGTGGAGTTGGTGGGCTTGTGTTGGTCTTCTCATGACCTACAGAATATTTTTAAAAATGGTTATGCTATTATATGTTCTAACTTCTAAGGATATTGTTTCATGAATTCATCATAAGAAATTTTGATTCATACCATAAACCCCACGGACTTCAATTTCTCTCCATTCTTGCACAAGGGCACAACAGCAACACATCAAATGAGAAAGAAAATCATCAACATAACCTCCCTGTCATTGAGTATTGAAACATTTAGAGATACCAAAAATGCTAAAACAAGTCTTCATATAAAGAAGACAACATTACCGGAATATTCATCATCTTCCTAAGCTTCCTTCTTATGCAACAAGTATAGCAACAACACGATAAAATCAACGAATATGCCATAAATTCATTACATACTTCTGCAGAAGCTGAAAAAACAAAACAAATATCAATTTAAGTTCATACTGCAGTTATTCTTCTATCTTTAAAAACCTTAATTGGACTTCATTATTAATCTATCTTCTCATATAGGTAACTTACATATAGGCCTGTTGGTTGCAACAGTAGCAATCTTCGAAAATGTTCCGCATGGAAAGAAGAATGTTTTTATACCTTCAAATCAAAAGATCTACATATATTACAAAAGATGAAAAATTAAGAAACATAATATTCTTTTTATTGCAGACATAACTAAAAAAAAACTCAAACGAAAGAAGGAAAGTACATACAAAGATAAGGTTCAGAACAACAAGCAAGTAGATCAGTATGCCAATCTTCTTGCTGATATAAACTTCCAGTTGACAGCAAATTCTTTTCTGAAACTGAGGAGCTATTCGAGACCATACAAATGAAGCAAATGATTTAGTTCAATGTAAGTTTGTACCCGAAAAGATTAAAATTGGCTAAGTAGTTTTCCTAAGTGAACTCAAAACACATGAAAGTCGAAGAAGATGGAAATAAACTACCTTGATGCTGAAAGAGTAACTGTTTTTTTATGATGTTTTTCATCAGAAAAATGACCTTTGCTTTCCTTGACATCAAAATGATTTTGGTTTGTGTATTCTACTTTGTTGCGACTATTTTCATGCGATAACTCCTCCGGAAGAGAATAAGCAGCAAATTGTGTGACATCTAATAAGCGTTGAATGAACTCGCATTGATTTATATCCATATTTGCTTGTGAGCATTGTAACTCTAGTTGAAGCTTTTCGTTTTCTTTTTTCAGTGCTTCAGTGAAAGAAAAGTTCGGATAAGTACACGAAAGAGTTTTCTTCAATACTACAGTGTCCTCTTTGTCGGGTTCCGGTTTCAAAAAAACCGTCTGCACTTTTTGCTCTTCATCATCAAATGTATACTCACATTGATCCTTTTCAATAACTTGTAGTCTCTCCTAAATATTCCATAGAAGTAAGATACTATTACTAAGAAAATCTCAATCAATAGTATATCAAAGTGTTCATAGAAAAAATAGATACCTTGACTCGAGCATTGACACGAGCATTGTCTACTAGAGTAATAAGAGGAACAAGGCGCAAGTACCGATCGATTTCATTCTGCGCCTTTCTGAATTGATAAACAATGTTCCATCCCATAGCCAACAGATAAAGATAGCTGCGATCCTGACAACTACTGACCAAAATGTAAGACCTTCTCAAAGCATCTTCTAGCTGTTCTAGAGGCTCTCGTGTTTCGGGATACTTCTTAAGCTCCGAGATCTTCAGCTGATCAAGCAAGTTACCAATTAATCTAAGATGTTGCGCGAACTGCCTGCAATTCTTTTTATGCATCTGGGCTGTATTCGCGGCTTTGACAATCATCCCAATCAACTTCACTGCATCTAAGCCGGTTAATTGAGCCACATTCGCAATCTCCCCAAAATGTTCCCATGAAGATGCCATGTTTTCAGAGATCTTGAGGTTTCAGAGACGCTGCACTGAGATCAAGTAAATCTTAATAGTGTTAGTTTTGATTTTTCGTTTTTGAACATAAGAATGCCATTTTTCTTAAATAATAGTAATAATTTAACCAGTTCAGAATTGATATTAATGAAGGTAATTTATGTTATTGTATAAGTAAAAGAAAAAGACAGTAACTGTATTGTCGGTTAAGAAACTTTGTGGTCAAAAAGATAGAAAGAAAAGTAATGAAATACTATACTGGTAAAAAGAAACACTGACATGCTACATAAAAAATACCAAAATAGGAAGGAAAAAAAAGGAACATAGAGTTTTGTTTAAGGAAATGAAATTGGTTTGCACCAAGAACATGTTAAGATGTTGTTGTTATGTGAGAAAGAAGGAAGGTGACAAAGCAAAAGGTGATATACAATGAAATAACGTTTCTCTCTGGTAGCAATTTCAGGTAGGTGGTTTTTATCTGTGTTTGTGGAGAGAGTGAGTGGTGCCCACATTGGTGCCTAGCTCCATCAAAATCTAGTTACATTTTAAGTGATAATAATCACCATTAATTCGTACACACATTTGTGAAGTTTGTGTACGCAAGTATTTGGTTCAATATTGCTATTTGTCGGCTGAATTAATTCTTACAATATTGTTCTTTACTCATGGAAAGTGACACATTCCCTTTAGGAGTAGAATGTGGTTGTAGAAAGAGTGTTGAGTGTGATTGTGGAACCAATGTTTCTTCCTTACCCGGCACCCAAAATGTATGTGACCCACTGCCAACTCTTTATTTTTGGACTTTTTTTTAATGCACCCAATATATTATTAGAGTATTAAGTGAAAATATAAAAATCCTTCTAGATTTCAGAGATATATTTTCGGACGTGTTCAAACACACATATTATAAGTCAATTATGAGTCACAATTTAGGAGTGTTGTTTTTTTTTATTCGGAAATGTATCTTTGTTACCTGTCTGTAAAGGTATCTTCGTAGCATATTGAAACAGAAACAAAAATAAGAAATTAGAAAGTTGTATTTTGACAAAATAAAATAACCATTCATAAAATAAAATTAGCATTACATGGTTCATGTTAACATAAAATCAAACATTACATTTCAATATTCAGGTAGACGCTTCAACATCTTCACGATATCTTCGATCGACCTTAAAATCGTCGCTTTCACCTCAATCCAAACTTTTGTTTTGAAACGAAAAAATGTATTTCACGTAGCCCTTACATCTGCATCTGTCTGGAGCTCATAGTTGTTGAACTGAATCTTTTCTTCATTGTTAATTGACGGTGAACAATACTCGAGCTTCACGATTTTTCAATTATCTCCGAAAGGTAGGAGAATATGCACTTCGTATTGTAGATTTGCAAAAGGAGTGTACTCATTGATCTTAAATTTTTGCCTGGGTATCGCGCTGGAAAATGAGACATTTGCGACATACTAGATGACGTTCATTTGCGATATTTACTATTTGTATGAGACATGATACAATAGCCTATATTTATAGCTGTTGTAGACACATATGGACCTAAAAAATTCTTTCGTGTATTCGTGCAGGTTTTAGAGATGCATCTCCGGTACCACCCTATTCTCTTATTCTGGAGATGCATCTTCGGAACCTCTCTTGATCCAAGCAGAAAACATAGCTTATGCGTTTTGTTTGACAAGTAGACCATTTTTTTACAAACATTAAAATTCATCAAAATATTTTAAATTCTATATATTACACGTCATTAATATTAATACACAATTATATACAATTAATTGATGATGAAAATCTAAAACGAATCGAAAGGTTTGTTATCGGTTAAATCTATAAGTATGAGTGCCCCCCCCCCCCCCATTTGACTTTTGTGCATTTGATTCTCTTTCAATGTCACCCAATTTGATGAACTCTTGCATCCTTTTCATAAATTGGTTCGGCCAAGTCTCGACTTCAGATGTTGAACGAGTCTTCCACTCCACTGATGTAAGTGGTATAGGACATCCTAGTTTCAAATAAACTTGAACAAAGTGGCATGATTTTGAAAGCCACCTAATACACATAATACAATCATTTGGATTTTAAGGTGGGACGGTGTGAGTACCGTATCTTGTAAGATGAATTCATACTCTATCATACACATTTCTATAAGACTACAAATTTCATCCATTCTTAACAGGCCACCAATTTTCACTTTCTTTGCTATAAGACGAGCACATGGTTTTCACAATTGTACAACCACACTTTGTGTTATCGAAGCCTACATTATCATCTTGTTTTGCTTCATGAAAAATATAATTCAAACTTGCTCGGGATATGTTACCGACCAAGTAAGAATAAAGATTGTTCTTTAAATCCATTTTCCAAAACTGTGGAGCTCCGACCAAAAGATGCTTGTGTCTCATTATGATGGTTCTTGATCATTTGGTTCACAAAGTCTCAATCTCTTCACAAATCATCTTTGCTATTTTCCAACCGATTCTTTAATGTAGCATGGACAGACTCAACTCGGTTTGTTGTTGTATTCTCAAGGAGTCTAACCTGATTGGTCCATGCACAAACAATTTTCTCCTTCACCTGGTCCAAAATTGTGCTTTCAACCTATTTTAACAAATCTGGATATTTCTCGCACACCTTCCTAAAATGTATAACGGAATCGGCATATAACTCTTTATTATAAGAATTTACTATAACATTCCATGTATCCATTATTTTTTCCACTATCACGCTCGCGTTCACCATTTTTGCATCTTCGAATTATATGTTTCGTCCCTACC